TGTGCCTTAGGGCGGGAACCAAGTACATCAAAGCTTGCAAGGCATCTATTTGATGGGTACTTCTTTGGGGGTAGAGTGCTCAGCATGGGACAAAGAACAAGGTGGCGGCAAACCCTTAGCTTAGTAGAGGATTCGCATCCGACCCATGTGCAGAAGCTAGTCACCAGGAATTTCAATGCCCGTGGAGGACCGGCACCTTACACAGCTACCCCCTTGTATACAGTAACAGGCTTCCATAGGAGGCCTTGCAGGCCTTGCAGAGCACATGGTCCCTTTGGGGATGTTGAATAGGGCTTAGGGGTTAGAGCTAATTCGAGGAGCTTGCTTGAGAAAGTAGTGGCCAGGCCTCTCTACATTCAGACGGTAATTTAGATTTCGGAGTATAATCCTGTTCCCTCATACTAATCGTTCGGTAATGGTCGGTACATAGTATATTCGCCGACCTGTATTTTATAAGGGGGAGATCATCTATCTATCGTAGGACCGGAAGATTAGGGTGGGTATGTAGTAACAACCAAATGAGATCATGAATTCCAGTAGATAGTAAAAAGAAATCAGGCAGACAAAAATGAATTGATCCCATAAATTCCTTTATAAAAGCAAACCAACAACAATCGAATTCTTCCTATTCAAGGTGACTCGCAATCCTTAAGAGTCATGCTAGGGACCGCTCCCTAATTCGGATGACCCGAACCCTGATAAACAATTTTAGTCTTGGCCCTTTTACAAGTGTTCGTGGGGCAGATGTTAAATTTGGGATTCTGGGGCACCCGTATTTTGCATTTGGGGGGGCGGGCAGCGCGGCTGATAGTAGGGGGACGGGATTAGTATTATAGTTTGTCCAGGGATAGATACTGGTAAACCTGAGAAAGAACCACATGGAATTGACCCTTGGAAACGAAGTAGAAACTGGGGAGTAAAGAGACCAGGCTTTGAATAGATTAGATTGGCCAAGCCATTGGAAAGCACTTGGATCTTACTTCATGAGTCTTTTTACGCATGGTTTTCAGCAGACAAATGCAGACGCGAGCACAATGTGCCCACTTGCAACTCGCCTTGAAAGTATGAATGAAACTATGTAGTGGCGGCGGAGCATGACAAGAACTGTGGCACTAAGAAATTGCAACTAGAAGAATGACCAGAGGGATAATGCGGAACCGGCTCTAGCGAGACGCGCTGATATGGTAGAACTGAATGGATTGCGCAGGTCATGCTTCCGTCTTGGGACGAACGTTACAAATGAAGACCTTGCCCTCCTGTGGCCACATCTCAAGCAGTCTCGGTCGTGGTGTGTGTAAGATAGTCGCAGCAGACTTGTAGAGCTTAGCAGCATGCCGCCCACAAACGAAGCATGTAAAAAACTCCCATCCCCTTGCGCTTGTATGGTTCCAGCTTGGTGGGTGCGCCATCTTAATTGTAGAGCCCCATGGCGCTTGTAGAGGTTCAAGGTTTGGGGCGGCTAATGGGGGGCTACAAGACTTGATCCCCTCCCCCTAATATTACAGCCCCCCACCCCCTAATATTAGATATTCCCAACATGTTATAAGATACCACATTATGGGGGGTAGGGGATTAAAAGGGTAACGAAGTTTCTTCGAGTCTTCTTGTGCGTGGGCGTCCTGCTGCAGGCCTGCACAGAAATCGTAAGCGCCACGAGGCATGCTAAAAAGAGTGGCCTTTGGTTAGCTGGGAATGGAGGAATGAAAAAGAAAGTGGCAACTTCTATAATGGGTTGTAGAGGGACGATTATCCCTGGCAGTGCATCTCTCCAAGCTTGATAGAACGGTGGATACTAAAAATCCTGCATGACCCTAAGTACATTATTTATTGGGAATAATGGGACTATTGTAGATTAAGGTCATGCAGGATTTTTAGTATCAACAGAATGACAAGAATGTAAACAACATGTGTTTCGATTAGGAGACTTTTTCCTTGATGATTTACTTAAGTACAAAAGGCAGCTGTTGTAATGGATATGGCAGGACACCCTACGCAATAGTAAGCAATTCTTATTCTCGGGAATATTCGTCATTAGGGCGGAGAACGTTCCAATATTCACGGGAAGCGACTATTGAATGGGAATCCATCTGATGATACATGAATTTTAGGTAGGGCCGACCATGTCCTCTCATCCAATGCTCTGAAAGAGAGCTCTGCAAGGTTGGTGCACTCTGGGCACTTGGACCTCTCAGACTTCATGGAAGTAAGTGGGAGGCCTCGGAGGGCGTTGGCTCAGAAGATGTGTACTCTATCTATTGCAAAACGAGCTCTTGCTTAATGCGCTGTTTGGTGTGGGGCTGGAAACTCCGCCCGTGGTTGCTGATTGAGGGGCGCAATGTGCACTGCATCAGTTCAGTCCGGCTTCGCCTTCAGAAACGCTTCCGAATTGGCAGCCCCAGAAGTTGGTACTTGGAGACCATAGTTGTCCTCCTTTCATTTGATCGGAGCGGTGCATGCAACGCATCAACCCAAGCAGCTTGAGGCTTACTCGACATGTTTATTGTGGAGAAGTACTGAACCTCACCATCCTTTGATCAACAGAAAGCGTTTCCCTCCCAATACGTGTGGTCTTTCTCATTACCAGGCCATGGGGTAGGCCTAGGTTGAATGGTTTTAATTTTACTGAAAGCTTCAGGGAACCTAGGACCTGGGATCCCGCGGAAACTGCCTAAGCTTTCTGTCTCTGGTGACATGCGGGGAATTCGGACGGCCCATGCTGCGTCGTCGCCTGTTGATATAACATTATGCGTGACACAGCCGCAGATGGTGCGGATTGTCCATTGTCCCCGCGAATGTGCTGGGCTTAGTCTAGAAGAGGTAAGCATGTGCAATCACCAGCAACACACTTTCCACATAAGTCCAACAAATCCTGATAGCACTTTATGCACTATTTTGCGTCGTTTGCACTTCTTCCTGAAGGTTGCTTGTCGAAGCAAAGACTGCCCAAGCACCCTTAACCACTATGTGATTCTCGGTCTTGCTGAACCATCCCCAAAGAAGTAGCAGCCAGCAAAAAGCAATGTGCGGCCTGGGCGCAGGCCGAATCCCAACACAGTCGCTTCTATTCCGCGGCCCTGGCCTCAGGAACCCTCGGAGGTCTCTCCTTGGGTATAGGCAGCTTCTGGAAGGTATACAAGTGTGCCAAGGGGAGTAGCTTTGTTCATCAGGAGCATTTCAATAATGGTACTTTGCGAGATGTTCTTGTTGATTGCAATTGTTCAATCCAAGTATGGTTGACTAGAACATGGATTTGAAGGGATGCATTGGCCTTCATGTTCAGAGAGAATGTTCCTTTTGAGAGCCGGTCTTTACCTACGACAGCGAGCTCTGACCTGGGCTTACAAGTGTGGAGTCCCACATCTGACAGAAGACTTGCAGTTTCAAATGAAATGCGATGGAGCTGGGCAGATATTGAGAAGGGTCCTGCTTTAAAGTGGGTTCAGCATCCTCTCATCCTGTCCACTTAGCCAGGCATTTACGCCTTGTCGTGGAGCTGCCGACTGTGAAGAAGAGCAGCGACATCAAAATGGAAGCCACGGGACTTGAAATGAAGTGTATTCACATCAGAGGATGAGATTGGTATTCCTCGTTAGGCCTCATCAAGGCATTTCAACAAGTCCTCTGACATGTCGAATTTTAGTGTTTTGGAGTTTGAGGCTGAACTTGGGTATGGTTCGGAGTGTTGCGAAAGTCCTTCAATTGAAAGGCCAACCCCTTGTAGCGTTTTGTGAAGAAGTCTCATCTGGAATGCGACAGCAGGTGTTTACATGAAGCCATGAAGCCCAAGCGCATCCAGTCCTTTGGGCGCCGGATTGCGCAGCAGATAAGTTCGGCAGCCGCTGGATGTTTCAGCAACATAGGGTGGCTATACTATGTATCTATGTTCTCAGAATGCTTAGACGGACTAGCGGCTTGGGGGCCTCAAGCTGTCAGAAATCTCGATGTCATTCTTAATGCAAAAGTCTGTAAATCCTTATAATGTCCAAGAAGTCACGCATAACCTCCCTATCTGAGAACAAAACAAGGTGACCAGCAACAACGTAGTGCTGGAGGCCGGATCCTTGCACCAGGCATTTTTTGGAGTGGTTAACTAGGACCTTGGATTTACAACCATCCAGGGCCAGAACAGTAAGGCCATAAGTTTATATGAAGACAAGCTTGTGGAAGGCAAGCTGCATGCCGCCGCAGCAGGTAGATGGCAAGTTCTACCTGGACATGCCACTTCCATACGAGGCCGGCAGCTTGAAATGCAAAAGATGTTGACATTGAACTTGGCTTTGCAGCATCCTTTGGAAAATATCTCGCACCAGTCTCATGTTGGGACTGCCCAAATCACCAAGTACTCCAGTAAAGGGCCGCCGGTAAAACTATGTAAACTCAAGGGACATATCCTGTTAAACAAATGCTTTGACAGCTTCAACCTTTCTATTTAGATTCGTCCTGTGCCATAGGCAGCGCTGAGCCCGAAACTCTTATAGGTCATGCATGCCACACTTGGCTTGGCTTGTTGAAGCCAGAGAAGCAATGGGAAGGCTCTGTTTTGGCACCAAACCAAGGTTGGGGCTTAGACGGAACATTGTGCGGCTCATTGTTCTGGGGTGTCGCTCAAGAGTCACTTGGCAAGGGGGCCTTCTTTACATTTCCCAAGTAGTTCCTGATGCTGAACTCTCAAGACAGCCCCATTGCTTGCAGTCCTAGCGTGCGGTGGTGTAGCCACCCCCTGGCAACGAATCTTTGTCCCAGGTGCAAGAGTCCAATGGCAGTGCCAAGTTTGACAAGGCTCCTGGCGCCGCGGATATACCATTCTTCTTGCCCCTCCTGGCGACGATTAGAGTAACTGCGATCAAAGGGACATAGCTTATTCAAGAACAGGCAACAGCGATGACTATGGCAACGCTTCTAAGGTTGCATTGAAACAGGTATCACGAAGCAGACAGAGGTTCCATAAATAGGAGCCCTTGATCCAGCCACAAACATGTCCATGAAAAATCCACAGTAAAGGGACTCCCAATACAGGTCCCTTGACTTTTATTTTGAAACGGCTATATTCCCGGCATAGCAGTTGCAGTTGTCTGAAAATTGGCTGAAACTTGTGTATCTTCCTGATACTAAAAAAATGCAGTTGCAAGAGATGCTGAGAGCTTCCTGGTTCCTCACTTGGCATCGGAAGCGATGGGTCACCCAGCTTGCTCTCGTGCCCGAAGAAACACACATGGGAGCATGCGGCATGCGCAGAATGTTGCTTCATTTCTCGCATTTCCAACACATAACATGATCCTGGCCGACTATTCTTAAATGTGACACGTTTATACTGGTTTTGCGAGAAGTTACAGCTTCCTAAGGCCGCTGTCTGGCCACAGGGGATAAGCCGGATAAGCCCCCTTGATGAACATTCCTGCCGTAATGTTGTTAGGGCTTAGGGGCAGCTGCACCGCGTCGTTTGTTATGAGGGGCAGTAATCTTAAACATGCCGCTGCATAAGATGACGTACCCGAGCCCCAACATGTCTGGAAAGCATTCAGTCTAGGATGTCCATGAGGGGGTGTGTGTTTCCTAAAAGGTGGGAGCAGTCTTGCTCCTATTGGCACTGGAGTAGACCACTTTTTTTAAAAGAAGGGCAGGCAAGGGTCTCCAGAGCATGTGGTTCTTCACGCCCTGACTGCTGGCAAAATCGCTCATGGCCGCATTGCATATATGGGAGGCGCGGAAGAGATGGCTTTGTCTCCGAAAATGCCATGCCCTAAAAGAATTCCTAAACACTATACCCATCCTACTCCTGGTACATTCCATGCCAACTCTCAGCCCGAAGACTTTTAGCGCAGGCGAAGCAGACCTTGACACTGGAATTGCCCGACTCTCGCTCAGTCATCGGAATCGAGAGTGGGCTACAAGCAATGGTTTCCCAGAACAGAACGCTTTGAATAGGGGGATCTCCTTGCTTTTGGGGTGCACTTGCTGGGAGGCCCTGACTTTTGAGAATTCCCAGGCAGGTGGCAGTCAAGGACTTAAGGACTCCCCATGCTTGCAAGATCTGCCAACACGGAACCTGTGCAGCGCCCACATGCTCCCCTTTCTGGAGTTTTGGCTATAGCTCTTCCAGACCGCATGAGTCGCTGGCTTGTGGGCCTCGAAAACCAAGACTTTTTGACTAGACTTTGGAACTGTGCGCTCTCAACCTTAATACCCCCGAGATTGGTCAGCTCGACTCAGTGCGTAAAAAAAGCGGACCTACTACATCACAAAGTAACCAGATTATCTCTGTAATTGGATGCTTGCCCATTCCCTCACGAGCCCCAATGTACAGATGACCCCGAAACCCTCCGGCTATGAAGTCAATCTTCTCTAGCTCAACTCCGAATATAGAGCTTATAGAACTCTTTAAAATAGTCCTTTGGCCCGTTGAGGGAACTTGACTCAGCTTGACATAAGGCCCCTAAGCTTCAAATCCACCAAGCGCACAGGGCCCTCACCTACCCTTAGGAGAGCAGATCTTTTTTTAAGTCAGGAATGTGTTCTGCCCTGCCCAGGTCATCCCAAAGATGCCGGACCCCGAGACCCTGGCAGCGGCCCAGCGTCTCCAAGGCAGAATCTTCCGGTACAGAGACCCCAGCATGGGCGGGAATTATGGTTCCGTCCCTGGCCCGTCCATGTAGGATCGAATGCAAGGGCCTTAGTAAAGGCTCTTTTTGCGGCACACGGCCTTAGGAACCAATGATGTAAGAGTCAGCGAACGTCATGGCGCCGTCGGATAGGGTTGATCCTCGCATATCCTCGCCCAAGAAACAATCCAGATCACAAGGCGGGCATTTGATTGAGACATCCACCTGCTGCACCTTCATCATAGCAGATGGTACCAGTTCAACGAGAACAAGTGCATCAGCAACGAGCACAGCAACTGCAGCAACAGTAACTGTACACTGTACAGATTCTGCGGGCACTTGTGTCTGGACAGGGTTGGGCGCGCTCAATGGTGAGGATGACGGCGGTGTTAGCGATCAAGAGGAGGAGGTGGAGCTTCATTGAGGGGTTCTTTCACGAGACGCCGTTGTTTCTTCGCAGAGCTGCCGTGTGAAGTCTGCGGGTTTGAACGAATGAGACCACGCGTCGTGGCATCACTGTCTTCTGCTATGATGATTACTCATCCATATTACAATTGCTATCATGACCCCGTCTCTCCCAATAATTTATGCGCAGGAGCCCGAGCTTCCTCCGCTCGAGGAGCCCGGCGATCCGCCACAGGCCGGGGATGGTTTCGGCAGCATCAGTGAAGGGCCTGCTTGAATCCTGCGGGAATTGTTGAGACTTGATGTCAGAATTTCAGGGATGGGTGCTCTGTGATTTTGAGGCTTTGTTGCTCACAAAGTGCAAGTTGCTTTCAATCAACATGCCAACTTGAATATTCGTCGTGGCCAACCCTGTAAGAAACACGGGTGCCTACAGTATTGACTCACAGCTCCCCGGCGCCCAAGGAGAAACAGGCGCCAGAAGCAGAGAGTGCTGCTGCGGCTTTGCCCTGAGCTTCACGCGAAACGAACGCGTTTCACTCCTGACCTGGTGGTGCAACTTTGCGCTTTGGATATTCTATCATTTTCATGTTGATTGACAGGCTTGAACGTTTTAATTGAACGATCGGGTCATCTTGTTGGATCCGATGGGGATGTTGGCCTGCTGACATGACAGCTACAGTGCTACAGTACACTCCGTCAGGTTTAGGGCCGGAAGCCATGGCCCAAAACTCTCCAAACGTTTCCACGAAAGGTCCACCGGTCCGGCAGTCACAGTGTTCCTTTGTATCCTCGACGTTCAAGCTACAGATGTTTACTGAAGCCCACCCCCAACATCTTGCGAGAATCACATGAGGCTCCAGCTCAGTTGTCTGAGCTGGGGTGACCAAAAGGCAGATCCCCAACAATATGAGACTGGCTACAAGCGCACTGCTCAGAACGCAAGGTGGCTGAAGTAGAGCCGACAGCGGTGGCTAGCAAAGCTCCTCAGGACCTTCTCGGGGCTAGGAGCCTGCAGTGAGCTCCCGGTGTAAGTGGCAGTGAAAACAAGGAAGTTGTTTTGAATTCCTAGAGAGTAATTAGGGGGGGGTTCGGGTACTGAACCATTGGCTCTGCATTGCAGCAACAAAGCCTGGAAATTCAAAGGGGTCGCAGAGGTCTCATTCCTCAAAGTAAGGCAGTATGTAAACTTAGCCAAGCTTTTTAACATAATACGCTGCGCTCTATGGGGAGTTTCTTGGAAGGTCCGCTTGTTGAAGAAACTGTCGTGCCACGCGCGGCAGGTAGACTCTCGGTAATTTGGTATGAGTCTACTCACAGGGTCTCATCCAGGCAACGACTCAGGAAAATCTTGGCATTACGCATGACTCTCGCAGAAGCTGTCAAACAAAAATCCGATGATGTCTTTAAGAAGCTTATCGTTATTACCAGGAGCCCAAAAGACCGCTGCTGGAGCTGGACGGCCCAGGCTGAGCGCCTGAGAACCACAATCTTGCCATACGCCTTGTATGAAAAGATGCGTGTTTGTTGCTGGGATCCTCTGAAACCAGTCTGTCAGGCATTCTAGGCACCTTCAGTGCCGACCTATGAAGTTTGGATGCTGTCAGCAGTAACTGATCCTTTTCATTAATCTACCGCATGCACCTATTTAGGCATGCCCACTGAGTGCCACTCATTTTCTTGGGGCGCTACAATTTGGCCAGGCTCCCTGAAGTTTGCCACTGCGCCTGAGGCCCGCGAAGTCCAGAGCAAGAAGCTAGGGGAAAGGAATGGGGGCGCATTCGAGTGAGCATTGCAGTCATGTTCGCTTCATCCTGAAAATCGGGAGTTTCATAAGCTTTTGTAGGGGCTTCTTCATTACCGAGCTTAGCTTTATGTTTGGTGCTGAGAGTTGCAGTCTTCTTCAGACAGGAGAACTGCTGTGAGGTTTTTTGCACAAGCTGGAAGACAGATACTTGTTCCACAACTCGCACCTCTAGTAGTATCAAGATTGCAGGTTTATGGGATGAGGTCAGTTTGCGCCGGAATCCGAAAAGGCCTGCCAGATCAAAACCACGCAGCAGCAGGTCTCAAATGCCATAACCTGCTCAAGAATTTATCAGTAGTAGATGTGTCCAAAAACCTCAAGGCCCGAGCTTGTGTTAATGAATATGATTGGATTGGGACTTGTCTCCCTAAACTCCGCCAAAGAAGCCCTGTCATGAATAGGCAGAGGATCAAGTTGTGGACATGAGCCAGGGCATCGAGGAGCTCGAGGCCTGCCGGTTGGTCATTCTAGGGTAGGGCAGCTTGCAAAAGAGTAGGCTATGTGTGCTACAAGGCGATTTGGATAGGGCTTGTTGCGCCTCAGGTCCTGGTGACTTGTTAGGATAGCTTGCTGAAGGTTGACGACTTTGTCTGTCAAAGTCCAGCGTTTAGACTTTGATCCTGCCAAGACTGAGAGTACTGTGATGAGGGAGGTAGAGAGGTCTCAATAACAGTACAAGACAGCCCTTCAGCTGCTCGGGTTCACCAAAGCCCTTGCCCCATGTGTAGGCCCCCCATACTTGTCTGCGATAGCTTTGCCCACCAAACCGTCCCCAGAATTAGAGAGACCTACCATAGCCACCACCACTGCAGCCATTCTGGTGAGGAGCCGCAAGCAGGCGAAGAGTTGCCTGAGCCCTGACGAACAGGCTCTTAGGCATTCATCGAAAATGGAGAGTGCTCGTATGAGGTAAGGCATCTATGTCTCTATGATACGTGCTTACCGAGGCACCATTCTTGGCTCTTTCTAAACGGGACTCTGGAGACCTCTCCACAAGCCTGAGGGCGCGTACCCTGCCTGCAAATCCTGCAATCAGGCGCTCGGCAGCACGGATGAAGGAATGTCTCCAAACCTGCAGACCTGAGGTCCACTGTGTCAGATTAACATCGAAACCTTATCAATTCAGAGTGCGGAAGGCTACTTGTAATCAACCCATCAAGACACCAAGGAAACTTTCAAACCTGGTGGAAAGTAGTTTAGGTAGCCGAAGCCCTCTAGGACCATGCGATTTTTTTGCGCCTCATGGATGTTCCAAGTTTCCAGACATTGGAACAGCCAAGAGGCGAGCGCTGGAGGCCCTGGCTTACGATGTAACCTATGTTCTGGTGCACATGGGTTGCAGCAGGCCTCCTGACAATGATCTGGTAGTTTGACTGCTGACGAACAACAACCTCAGGAGCAAGCTTAAACTATAATCGTGATGTCCTAGGCTCACACAACCTAAGTTCCAGGTGGACCAAGCTGAGCTCTCTATGCCTTCGCTCCAGGCTCCTGTTCCCTGAGATGATTGACGTCCCATCTCCCAGGAAGCAGAATCAGCAAAGATCAGCAACAGCAATTTGTATGCCCGTATGCTGAGGCCTTCTTTCGAAGCCGCTGAGGCGTTCGGCGGGGCGAAAGCAGGCGGCACCCAAAGCGAGCAGCCATGTTTGCTAAATACCTAAACACAATGCACAGTGTGCTCAGTGATGGATTTTATCATTTTTGGTATGTCGGCGTGCAGAGAGTGTACCATGTCGTATTCCGAAAAGAGTTTGGGTTTTGTAAAAGACCTCTCTATTCCACTCATGTCCGCAAGGGTACACATGAGATGTTCCGTAGCTTCCTGAGCCTTCCAATTCTCCCGCTCATCAGGCACCGAGGACCTATTTGATGCCAAAATTGAGCTTCCTGTGGACTGGGTCTTGCATATCGCTAGACGCACGCTACGTGCTTTGAGCCGTAAATAGCTCCCTAAACTTTCAACCTCGAATGCATGAGCATTGGGAAGGCCCCAAAACTAAGCCCAAAAGCTCACAAATCACCCTGTATCAGGCTACTTCTTTGGCACTGGGGACTCTGGCCTCGGCTACTACCGAGATCTCCGCCAGAGGACCAGGAGGACGGACCAGGGAGTTGCCAGCAAAAGTGGCAAGCGAAGCAGCAGGAAGGCAGAAGAGAAGCTTTGTCATAACGGTATCATGTAAGGAGCATTCCATGAGAACTACATTTCCTCAGATTTGCCTATCTCATCTGCCAATTTTTGCGTAGGGTAGTGGGATGCCCCTGTGGATCCAGCACTCTTATCTTGTTGACAAAACATCTCCGAGAATTTCGGCTTGTAGCGGCTTTCCAGTGCATGTTGGGAGGCGGCCAGAGCCTGCGCCGGCTCCACGCCCCAGCCAGGGGCCCCTGGTAGAGGAGGCTGCGCTGGCTGGATGTGGGGCTCAGGGTGTAACGAGCTGTTTGGGGTTTGGGGCTTTGGCCTTCCAGAGATCTTGCCTTCAGCCAGTGGAAAGTTCAACGGTGGCGCGCTCGCGTTCTAAACTCTGAGCCACCTGAGCGTTGAATTTGGCTGCGGCGAGGAATAGTAGTAGCAGCAAACGAGGACAGTCCCTATCGGCCCAATGTAAAATGTGAATACATTGGAAGTGTAGCCTATGGCAGCTGAATCCTGACCAAAACAAAGGACACGACTGAGAAACCTGCGTCTGCGAACATCTGCGAATAGAGCTGAAACGGCAGGTCCCAGAGCCAGCACCACGGGAATTACCGACATATGCGCAGAGGCATGTGGAGGACGACTGTCTTGCCTTCGTGCCTGTCCTTGCTTTTTTGGGTGCTCACTGTGAATTGTGGCGTTCTGCTTACTCAAGGCCACCTGCGCAGAGAGGTGCATTGTGCTTGTGCTGGGTACGGCAGGAGACTAGCCTCCTGTCCACGCGCCTACCAGTTGCCGATGCGGAAGTTGTCAACGAGGAGCTGACTGGTCATAAGTCTATCCCAAAGACATTATAATATGGCAAAAGGCAATGACCGGCTGCATAGGGCCCATCATAGGGCACATGGCTCGCGGCCTTGAGATGATCCTCGCATGTCAAGCCTTGCCTTGCGTGTTATTCTTGCTTCCCTTGGCCTGACTGTCAGGAATTGTGTGGAAGGGTCAGGCGGCTAGAAACAGGAAGTGCTCAGGAATCTTTTATATTTCATGACACAATGCTGGAGGATTCTGGATGAAGCCAGGTGCCAGAAAGTGATTTGACATGCCTTGATTTTGAGATATCTGGACTGGAACTCATGCTGCAGCGCCCATCATCCGAATTATGAGCCTGCTCATTGCAGGGGCGAAGCAACAGCTGAGAACAAAGCACAATCTCCTTGGCTCCTGGAAACCCATCCCCATAGAACCCCAATATACTATAGTAGCTTCCATTTTCTTTTCCATCATCCCTATAACATCACTTGCAGTGCAGAGTTGGCCCGGTGCACCCGCATTCTCGTTGTGGTTGAGGTCGGAAACTATTTGTCGGTCCCATTCTACTTCATGACTACGACCATTCGTCTGTGAGAACCTCCCGGACTGTGCGGAACTCTTCCCTTTTGCAGGAATTCCGGCCATGGATCCCGTTAGGCCTAGCTATACTCCTCAACTGGTCTCAAAAACCAGGTCTGCCATTCCCCACCCACAAGTTGGAGTCCACAGGAGCCCCCAGTGATCGCTCGGCTTGGGCGGCAGAATTTGCTGTTGCGACTCGCGCTGCCAGATGAGGCCACCCCTTATGAGAGTTGGGTATGTCAAAGAAAATGCTCCCATTACAGGCCCATTCCCCAGTCATGAACATTAGATTGGGGATCCCCCAAGAAGGGACTCCGAGTTCTGGAAAACCCAATAATGGACCTCCGAGCTTCTGGGGAACACTTGTACGACAGCGGCTTCCCACACCACTTGCAAGCTTCGTGATGTGCTTTTTGGCGGGCTCCTTACACGTGGAATCCCTGTTCGTAGATATTATACCTCCTGGAACCTCCCGTTTTTGGAACAGACGTTGGAGTGATTCTGGTGAAGTTGTCAGTTATTCTGGCCATGTAGTTTGTATGCTTATGTGGCTGCGGTGAGCCAAATCTGGGCAATTCCTGACTGGTGAGGTTTGTACTTTGAGAGACCACTTCTAAAGCCCTTTGCCCTGAGCGCTGCAACCTCACATCCTCAAACCCAAGAGCAACAGGCTGGAGAAGGTGGGCCTTTCACTTCTAAACATGTCATGAAGCCCTTCATCTCGAACACCAGTGATCCCGTCTCAGACTCAACAATTACTGAAACAAGGTGCGCCCTCAGCCTCCCCAGTCACTGCCGATTGATGTGTCACCGCCCCCCTGACAGGAGCCTGAGGCTGCCGACCTCAGGCTGAGTCTGGTTGGGCGAAGGCTGACGTTGTCGTTCTGCTCAAGGAGGCACCTCTGTGGGGAATTCCTATAGCATCACGATTACATGATATCTGGGGTATAATAAGGGGACCTCCATTTTTGTTAGAAATGCCCATGACATTGATTTGCAGGCAAACCTGTGTAAACATGATAGTACAGGGTCTTGGCATCGCCTAGCATCGTCCCAGGAAACAATAGCAGTCATTACCATGATCAGGAAGGCATTGTCATGGCACGGTGGTAGCCAGTGTCCTGCAAAGAAGGATGCAACTAGGCCCAGCCAAGAAACCTGAGATGATACGTCAACCGGCAGACCCTGGACACCACTAGCAGACCTTAGGCATGGAATTCTCGCAAAACCTCCTTCCTTGATCCGCAGGCCCCCCTCGGAGAGCGAAAGCCAAGGCTTGAGGGACCTGGATTGAGCATCAGACTGTTCTCCCTGCTATCCTTGCCAATGCGGTTACCTGCTCCTGCTCCTGCTGCTGCCGCTATTGCTGGTGAACTCGCCCACTTGTAGGTGTTTCAACTTCGGTGGCTGAATGACAACTTACTTGTGGTTGTTTCATTTTGTCGGTCATTACTGCAGCTGTCTGCAGCTTATAACGTGTAAACAGGGTCAACGGCAATAAAGTTATCCTTCCAGTAGCATCCCCCCAAGAAAGTGGTTTGCGGTTTTGGTCTACAGAGGGGTGTCGCAATAATGGACAAGGGTTGTGCGGGTAGGACAGAATAGTACAAGTAATAGTACTAGATGACAAGCAGTAGAAAATCGACTAAAACTTGGGATACTTTCAGGCAATGAAATTTATTATCGCCACCCCCTTTATCAATGGGAGGTTAAGATTGCCCAGGCAGCATAGAATTAAGCCAATCTAGCCTCAGCTTCGCCTTGCAGAGGGCGGGGATGTTTTTACATGCCTTGGCTTTTCTCATGCTTACTTCATGACAATGCCCTCCCTATATAATCCTAAGATACTATAGAGTAGTTTCCATTGTTTTTCCATTTTCCTATATAACCCCAATATACTATAGTAGTTTCCAGGTTCTTTTCCATTATTACGATAGAACCCCAATATACTCTAGCATGCATGTTGACAAAGCAGAAGAAGCAGCAGCAGCAGCAGGAACAAAGCTTGGTTTGGAGACTCAAGCCGGTGTCGTTTCCTGCCTTTTGATCTCGAGCGAGTAGAGCAACAACACATCCTGGTACATCAGTTTGCCTTATTAACAACAACGCTGGATGTGTAGACACTCTAATCAGGCCCGCTACTGTCAATGGCTCGGGCAAAATCATGCTGCTCGGAGTCCTGTCAACCTTTGCGGTGGTTTATGTTTGAGGGTCCAGGTTTGTGCAGACGGCTGGTCCCGTTACATCCCCTGGCTATGGCTACATGTGCTCATGACTGGGTGAGAAGTGCCTGCACCTCCGAAGCTTTCGCAGGTAGCCGTAGGCCTCCAGCAAAATAGACTGGATCATCATCGAAAACTCAGAATTGATCAAAACATAAGCCATGCTAAACCCCAAGGGAATTTCCTTGCCCCTGTCCTCGAGTGCAGCTGGAAGGTTTGTATAAGTGTAAGTATACACTACAAGCGCAGTTTGACAGTTGAGAGGTTGTGTATCTCAAGAGTCTGTTGTATTGGGGCCCCTGTCACCAGTACGGTATCCTGCGAGTATGTGATCGGGCCCTGCTGTTGACGAACTCCCTTGTAGATGCAGATGCCAGAACCGCAGAAAAGCATTCCCGAAATTCCAAAATGCCAAAACCCTAACTCCAAAGCCACAGACTTGTGCCAGTGTTGAAACCCAAGCCCTAGCGGCTGGGAAACATGTTCACTGCTAGGCAGGTGGAAGCGGCATTGAACCTTTAAATTCTTACTTTTGCAGCCATGAAGCACTAGTTCGTGCACCCTGCAGCCTGAATTCTAAACCCCAAAGCAGATGCGAGGAGGCAGTTCCAGCTCCAGCTGGCGAAGGCGGCGATTGCGGTGTGACCTGGGCGGGGTCGGGAGCCCCACGATTGTGGCCTACTTGGTGGTTTAGTATGTGGCTGTGAAGTTCAGATGCTGTAAACTAGGTTTCAGGCTTCAATGAGGTTCCTGGGAAGTGTTGCGCTCCAGATGGGAGAAGCTAGCCAGCATCATGACAAAACAGCAGAGGCCTCGCAGTGGAGCTCGAGTCTGGACGACTTGTGGCATTTTACAATAGTGCTGTAGCGCCACAAGTCTTCAGCCTCAGCTAGGCTTCAGAGCTGATGCCCTAAGTTTCGCAGACATGCGCGTGTGCTTCATAATCACTGCAGGCAGCCCGTTTCAAACAAGCGCTTGATGCTGTCCATGCATATCTGCAAGGCATATTGTGAATCGTAATGATTGCACACTG